TATTAATATTAATATATATATATATATATATATATATTATTTTATATTTTTATGTGTTTGCTAATTTTTTTAAGGGTAATTTTTGTATTTTTTTTAAAATTAATTTTAAACAAATGGACCCGATATCTTATTAACAACATATTTCAATTTGTTAAGCAAAATTAGCGAAATGAATGATAATATTTTCAGATCATTTAATTTTAGATGTTTTTATCAGTTTTTTTGTGCTAATATTTCTACCATGATATTGTGTAACTTCGATTATAATTTTGCTCCTTTTTTTTTGTTTATGTTTGTATACCATAGAGTATCAACGTCCAAGTTCATGTAATTTGAGTAAATTCACGTTGTGGCCGGGGTTGAGACTGAGAATATCTTGTTTAAATTCACGCATAATAGTTTGTGTAAATTTATGTAAATATTCTAAAAAAATTATTATATACAATAACATCTTAAAAGTTTCACTATAATATATGTAAATATAATTTTATTTGATATATATACACATAATTTTTTAAAATAATATTTAATAAAATATATTATGTGTTACTATAGTTTATACTTATATATTTTAATTATATATCAACATATATTATATTTATAATATAAATAAAAATAATTTTTAGTGACAAATATCACCATAGGATTGGATTTGTATCATTTCATAAGAGTAAAATAAAAGCATTATATAATTATTCTTTTCATACCATTCATGTCAACCATGAAGACTTGGTCAAACTTATGATACAAATATTCTCATTCTCTCCAGTCTGTACCATACCAATATATATTCCCGTAACAGTTTTGAAACTACTCACAAAGAGTTAAGCCAAAAGGAGAGAGAGAGAGAGATATGGACGATTCTATTTTTATTACTTATTTTTTTGAGGTACAATATCGACGAATAATTCAATTAACTTTTGGAGAACCAAAAGAAAGAAAAGATTGTGTTTTTTTTTTCCCTTCTACTTTATGTTCTAAGCATAACAACTTGAAAAAAGAAGATGCAGTGCGTGATGCAAAATAAGTTCCGAATCATTTAGGTCAAAAGTAATTTAAGAAAATCATTTTTTAAAGACTCCACATCTCTATACAATTCAACAATTAGATCGCAAAAAATATAAATTTAATTACGTAAGGTTAACATAGAAATAATCTCTAAATATACATGTAACTAAATATGAAAGTGATAAAGTAAATTCTTTAGTGAGACTACAACTATAATTGTACATGTATGTAAATACAGAATCTCATAATTAAAAATATAAACTTAAGTTTTCAGTCAAGTAAAAACTACCAAATAACTATAATAAGGCAGTTCAAGTAACACTATCATCCTCCAAGATAGTTTTCAAAAA